CACGATAGACAGACAGACAGCACTCACAGACACGATAGACAGAATACGCTTTGCTTTTGTATCGGTGTTTACGCAGAATTTTAAGTCTAACATACAAAAGTGTGTATTACATKAAAACGGAATGTCCTTGAAGTGTTATTTTTAACGTTTTCATCCCTTACGCCTTTTTTATACCATTTTAAGAAATACATAGAGCCTAAATTTAACTTATGATATGGGTACAAAATACTATGGCCTGGCTCCCACACAAGCAACAAAGAATGAAGACATATGCAAAAAAGGCGGGAAATAACGCGCCTGGATCCGAAGTTCATAAAATAAAACATATACACAGTTCTCATGCATTAATTCTCATTGGTCATCTTGCGAGGCTGAGCAAGGCTGCTCATTAAAAATAAAAGTGGATAGCGCGAATTCAGGTCAAAACAAAAGTTCAATTTCTATACCCAATTTTCCCGCCCTTTTTGTGAACATGCGCATTACATTTTCCTCATCCTCGCCAGAGGCGGCGTGCCTCTTACATAATTCCAAATTAAAATGAGGAATTCCATGCCTTGAGACATATTTTAGTATTATTTTCAAAAAGCTCTTTATTATTTAACTACTAAAATACCTGCTTGAAAGTCTGTTCATTCGGGTTTCAGCAAAAATCAGTCTCTTTTTCCCTGACCTTATCAAAGACATCACCTCTTCAGCGCTCCGTACAACGTACTCTGTTAAGTTTTCCACATACACTCCTAGAATACAAACAAGAGTCCAGTAACTTACTCCATGCATACTCCAGTGCTTCAGTGCTCAAATATAGGCACAAAATCTTGCAGTAATCCCTTCACAGTTCCCTGCGCCACCTTGAAAGGTAGCCGTGTCTTTGCAGCGAAGCGAGACGAACGGTGAGCTTACRATGATAGAGACCTCTTTTTAACACTTTGGACAATTATTCACATGTCTCTATCATTGCAAGCTCACCGTTCGTCTCGCTTCGCTGCAAAGGCACGGMTACCTTTCAAGATGGCGCAGATAACTGTGAAGCGGACAAGATAAGATTTTGTTGGACGTCAATCAAAGTGTTTCCATGACAACGTCGGAAAAYACGAAGTTTTCAAGGGCACGYGCCAATGGAATGTTATGGAAACGCCTTGATTGACGTCCACTAATWCAGGCCTGCTTCGTCGTGACGAAGATTCTGCTCATGATACTGAGAAACACTGTTAAACTGCTATTATATTTGAGGCACTTGMTTATTTGAGAGAACGGTGTTTCAACAGGAATATAAGTTTGTTTTAATTGTAAAAAGAATAACGAGTGAACAGCTTTTCTGTTGTCATAAAAAATCCAAATTGTGATCTTTTTCTTTTTTTTCTTTTTTTTTTGACTTACCAATAAAAATTTTGAAGTAAAATTATAATAAAGATATTTATTTTAAAAGCAAAAATAAATACAACAAACGCCTTGAAAAAGTTGGAAGTTTTGCCTATTGCATTCTAAAGCCCCGTGTACACTAGCGGTTTTTGCTGCGATTTTTTTGCGATTTTGTCCATAATAAATAATGGTAAAGAATTGACTTGTAAAGTTTTTTTCAGGATACCAAGATTTTCCTAGACGAATGTCTCTTTTGAAGGATGAGACAAATGATTTCATATTTCCGAAAATTGCCACAAAAATCGCAGCAAAAATCGCCGCAAAAATCGCCGCAAAAATCGCCAGTGTAAACGGGGCTTAAAGTGTATATCCGCTCGAGGACTTGTGCACTCGCTATTAAAATCCAATTTGTCAAACTCGATAAATATTCACAGCACTCTAAATGAAATAAAAAGGGGATACCTTTCTTAGGGTCTTCTCTCAAAACCATTTCAAGTCTGTGGTCAGGGTTAATGAGGTCAAAGATCTTCTCTTGATAGATTTGCAGGTACGACAGGTAAACCTGTAAAATTCAAAGTATTCGGCATATTAAATCAAACCATTAAACATTATTAAATGAAAAGTACGGAAAGTACTAAAAGGACGGACGGATGGATGGACATAATTTACGTCTTCTTCTGTTATATTCACCTACAGGTGAATATAAAATAACTGTTATGAATCTCGCGTTCTGATTGGTTGRGGGCGCGTGCTTTATTAGAGCACACAGCACGCGCGCGCACTTTTAGTAGCGTCATTCCTATCTAAAATAACGGTTATTGTAATTTGTACTTTATAAAAGAAATAAAAAA